AAGTTTCTCCCACTATCTGAAAGTAAAGTGTTCTTAGGAAACCTTTCATAAGCCAAAGTGACATAAAGTGGAGAAGGAGTTACCATTTTGTAGAAGTGAAAATCCTCTTTAGGTTTCTCTGTTAGTGAAAATAGGTACAGGCATACCTCAGAGATGTTGTGAGTTCTGTTCCAGACCACTGCAATAAAATGAATATAGAAAAAATAAGTCAGATGAATTTTTTGTTTCCTGGTAAATATAACATTTATATATTATAGTCTGTTAAGTGTGTAATAGGAAAAAACAATGTGCATATGAACCTTAGTTAAACTTTATTGCTAAAAAATTCTAACCATCATCTAAGCCCTCCGTTAGTCCTAAACACTGATCACAGGTCACCACAACAGACGTAATAATGAAAAAGTTTGAAATATTTCAAGAATTACCAAAAGGTGACACACAGACATGAAATGAGCAAGTGCTATCGGAAAAATTGTGCCAATAGGTTTACTTGATGTAGGGTTCCCACAAATCTTTAATGTGTAAAAAAATGCAGTGTCTGCAAAGTACAATAAAGCAAAGTACAATAAAACAAGGTAGGCACACTAAGCTAGGACTTTCATAAAAATAAAGTGGATAAAGCAAACTTACAGAGAATGAGGGAAACCTGTATATAAAAAACCTATTGCAAATATCATGTTCAATGGTGAAAGACTGAAAACTCTTTCCCTTAAGATCAGGAACAAAGGCAAGGATACCTACTTTCATCACTTCTGTTCAGCATAGTCTAGCCAGAATAATTAGGCAAGGCAAGGAAATGAAATGCATCCATTTTGGAAAGGAAGAAGTAAAATTATCTCTGCTTGCAAGTGATATGATCTTATATGTAGAAGTACTAAAAATTTGACACCAAAAAAAAAAAAAACCCTATAAGAACTAAAATATGAATTCAGCAAAGTAGGATATAGAATCAACATGCAAAAATCAGTTGCATTTTTGAGCAATCTGAAAAGGAAACTATAAAAACATTTCAATTACAACAACATCAAAAATAATAAAATATTTATGAGTTAACCAAGGAAGTGAAAGCCTTGTCTAATGAAATCTACAAAGCATTGCTGAAAGAAATTAAAGAAGGCCTAAACTAGTGGAAACACATTCCATGTTCACAGACTGGAAGACTTAATACTGTTAAAATTCAGTGCAGTCCCTATCAAAATCCCAATGACATTTGTCTGCAGAAATAGAAAAACCTATATATTATAAGGAATACCAAAACAATTTTTTTATTTTCATTTTTTTCAAGTTTTTTTTTTAAATTTATTATTCAAATTCAAGTTAGTTAACATAGTATTGATTTACTGGTGTAGTATTCATTTCCAGAGTAGAACCCAGTGATTCATCACTTATATACAGCACCCAGGGCTCAATCCAACAAGTGCCCTCGTTAATACCCATTACCTACTTAGCCCATCACCCCACACAGCTCGCCTCCAGCGACCCTCAGAGTGTTCTTTCTATTTAGGAGTCTCTTATGGTTTACCTCCCTCTCTGTTTTTATCTTATTTTTCTTTCCCTTCCCTTATGTTCATCTGTTTTGTTTCCTAAATTCCACATATCGAAGAGCAATCTTGAAAAAGAATAAAACTTGAGGAATCAAACTTCTGACTTGAAAGCTTCCTACAAAGCTACAGTAATCAAAAACTGTAGTACTGGCATAAAGACATAAAACCAATGGAATAGAATAGAAAGCCCAAACATAAACCCTCATGGATATGGTCAAATGATTTTAGACAGTGGTGCCAATACTACTTCATGGGGAAAGGATAGTTTTTTTCAACAAATGCTGCTGGGAATGCTGGCTATCCAACATGCAAAAGAATAAAATTAAACCCTTACCTAACACTATATACAAAAATTAATTCAAAATGGATCAAAGACCTTAATGTACAAAATGTACAAAAATAAAGCTCTTGGAAGTCTTAAGGGCAAAAGCTCCACAGTATTGGTTTCACAGCAATTTCTCAGGTATGACACCAAAAACACAGACAACAAAAGAAAAATAAACAAATTGGACTTTATGAAAATTTTTAAAATTTGTGCATTAACATACAGTATCTAAAGTAAAACAGCAACCCACAGAATGGGAGAAGATATTGGCAAATCATATATCTAACAATGGATTAGTATCTAGAATATATAGAGAACTCCTAAAACTCAACAGCAAAAAAAAGCAACCTGATTGAAAAATAGGTAAAGTACTTCAATATACGTTTTTCCCAAGAAGATGTACAAATGGCCAATAAGCACATAAAAAGATGCTTAACGTCATTAGGGAAGGGCACATAAAACTACATGTGACACCACCTCACACCCATTAGGGTGGTTACTATCAAATAAAATGTTAGGATATATAGAAATTGGAAATCTTGTGCCCCGTTGGTGAGAATGTAAAATAGTACACACACTATAGAAAATAGTATGGCAGTTCTTCAGAAACTTAAAAATAGAATTACCATATGACCCAGCAATTCTTCTAGGTATATACGCAAAAGAACTAACAGCAGGGTCTCAAAAGATACTTGTACAGTCATGTTCATAACAGCATTATTTATAATAGCTAAAATGTAAAGAAACCCAAGTATTCATGACAGATTAATAGATTAGGAAAATGTGATATATACATACAGAATATTATTCAGCCTTAAAAAAAGGAAATTCTAACACATGCTACAACATGGATGGATGAACCTTGAGGTCATTATGCTAAGTGAAGTCAGTCCATCACAAAGAGACAAATACTGTGTGATTCTATTTATGTGACGTAGTTCGAGTAGTCAAAATCATAGAGACGAAAAGTAGAGTGGTGGTTGTGGGGGGCTAGGAGGAGGTGAAAAGGGAGAATTATCGTTTAATGAGTGTAGAGTTTCAGTTTTATAAGATGAAAAAATTTCATGGAGATGGATGAACATTTTGAATGTATTTAATACCACTGAACGGTACACTTCAAAATAATGAAGATAGTGGGGCGCCTGGGTTGGTTGGGGCTCAGTTGGTTAAGCGTCTGACTTTGGCTCAGGTCATGATCTCATGGTTTGTGAGTTCAAGCCCTGCATTGGGCCCTGTGCTGACAGCTCGAAGCCTGGAGCCTGCTTCTGATTCTGTGTCTCCCTTTCTCTACCCCTCCACTGCTCACACTCTGAGTCTTTCTCTCTGTCTCAAATAAACATTAAAAAATAATGAAGATGGTAAATTTTATATTATGTGTATTTTATCACAATGAAAAATTGGGGGGGGCAAGCAATGTAGCAGGTTGTGTCAAAAGCCATCACAATTTTTAAACTTTTGTCACCCAACAGTTTAACCAGGAGAGATTATTTTAAAAAGAGAAGTTATATTAATATTTTAAAATTTAAAAGTAGTTCATGACAAAAGAAGGAGGGCTTCGTGTCATTTAGTGGACTACTTAAACATTAACAAATTTTTTCCAACTATCTTTTTTTTTTAGTTTATTTATTTTGAGAGAGAGTGCCCATGTTCCTGAGGGCAGTGGGGCGGATGGGGATGGTGTTGGTGAGGAGAGAGAGCAGAGGAGAGAGAGAAAATGCCAAGAATTATCAATCGCCTCTCCATACCTCAGAGCCTGACACACAGCTTGATCCGACAGACTGTGAAATCATAACCTGAGCAGAAATCACAAATCGGACGCTTAACTGAGCCACCCAGGCACTCCTCTTTTTTTAAACATGCAGTTCCAGTTTTATTAATAAATGTTAATAGCAAGCACTCTGAATTTCCCATGTTACCTGCTAAGAAGGCAACTATGCAGATACTGCAAAATGAATATCAGGAAGAACTCATTTGTATGTGCCCAGGAAAAACAATTGTATATAAAGACGCTTTAAGAAAACCTGAATGTTGGGGCACCTGGGTGGCTCAGTCAGTTAAACATCTGATTTTGGCTTAGGTCATGATCTCATGGTTCCTGGGTTTGGAGCCCCACGTCAGTCTCTGTGCTCATGGCTCAGAGCCTGGAGCTACTTCAGATTCTGTCTCCCTCTCTCTCTGCCCCTCCCCGTCCCTCCCTCTCTCTGTCTGTCTCTCTCTCTCTCTCTCTCTCTCTCTCTCAAAAATAAACATTAAGAAAAAAATTTTTTTTTAAAAAGAAAACCTGAATGTTATTATATTGTATTAAGGTTGTTAAAGGTTATTGTAACTTCAACAATTATTTTTTCTTATTATGCTATTGAACTTTATCAGTAGTTATTGACTTTCCCAAGCATCACCAAGTGATCCAGATAGTAATAAGTATTTTGGGCAGAAATAATTACACAAAAGTAAAGCCCAAAGTAATTTTTATTAAGGCAGTTTCAGCTAAGGTGTATAGATTTTGACCTATGAAATTTTGAAATTGGGAAAAAAGAATGAATGAATGATCCCTAAAATTAATGGGGAAAATTTGTAATGGTTAAGTGTTGTATAGAAAATAGATTAAGGAATTGACATTAAGAAGTTACTTTGTCAAAGGAAATTAATCTGTACTTTTTAGTAGAATGTTCATAATCATAAACTGGAATAAAAAAACTATCCTTAGGATTAACATGTTGGTGGGGTTAAAATGACATTCTTGTGTGTGTCAGAATAGTCTACATCCACCCCCAATTACACAGTTTCTCATACATGACTAGGCCAGGCCTGAAGACCCCCCGAGAGCATGGCTTCCCTCAGAGTTCATATTGAGACCATGATATATGAGGTAACTTCGACATATTTCGTGTGGTTAGCACATTGAGTTAGCTCCCGGTCTAGTGCCAAATATGCCTCGTTGATTTCAAATGTTGTGTGGGTATTAACTTCTGCTTTAATTTACTTTCATTAAATATTTCTGATGTGGAAATGTACCTTTCAAGAAAATAAATTTATACTACTTGATTTTTAAATATAGAAAATTTGCCTAATTTAGGAAAGATAAATATCTTAAAATCAGCACATGACTTTTATGTTTTGTTTGTTTGTTTTAGTAAACATGTTTATGGAGTACTACAGAAAGTTTCCTCCAGGTATACACTTTGATTTACAAGTGCTAAATGACCTTCTAAATTGTTTACTCAAACATTGTTTATTGAAAGAAGTATTTCAGGTAGTGAACCTCAGCATAATGGTTAAAATGCTGGTAAGTAACCTAAAAATATATACTTTCTAACTCATATGTGAACTTCTTTGTTATGTTTCTTGTTTGTATAATTTAGCAGTTAAATTTCTGTGTTGTCGAATACTTCCTAGAGAACACTTGTGTTTTACAGCATAAACGAATTTGAGAAACTTAAGGTGTACAGAAAGAAGACATGAAAATGAGTGTAATTTTTTTTGTTTTATCCAGCCTGCTCTGAAAATATTACTAAAAATATTTGAGCATGTGGCAACTATGAAATTAAGGAATGCTGTACCTGCTTTAATTGATATATTTTGTAAGGTATGCTTTATTTTATCTCTTTTATTCTCTGATAGTGACTAACCAAGAAAATAATTCTTTCCACTAACACTGTTAAAGCACCTTTTATCCACATTATTGATGCCAAAGAATTCTGTTTTTCAGAAATGTTCTTTTTTCTCTTGAAATAGGATTTATAAACAGACTCCAGTGACTGATAGGCCTTCCCCTTAAATAAATCATTCCAAGCACTCCAGGTGACTTCTTTTTAAGTTGTGAAGTCATCTTTATACCTTAAAAATGATTAAAGAAAACTCTCTTCATCAAAAAGATTTGAGGTCATTTATAACAAAAATAAATATGCAAGTCAATATATAAATAGAAAATCATGACCGAAACAAAGGAAGTAGATAGGGAAAAACATGGAGGTTAGGAATTAATTTTATATTTGACACTAAACAAAAAGAAAAATAATTTTCATGGCTTCCTAAAAATATGTTAAAATTTGTACTTTTGGATGCTTACTGGTATTTAGCACTGCATGGCCATCCATTTCAGAATAGGCTAACAGCAAGAAAGCCTGCATTTTCTTTAAGGAGCAGCATTGGAACCACTCTAGCAGATGTACGGATATTTCAGTGAATGCCTCTAGTTCCACTTTACAAAACTTGACAGAATTACCTGCCTAGAAATTTTTTGAACCAGAAATTACTGATTACCACTAATAGTTGTAGAAAAGCTCGGTTTGATACTTCTCAGGAAGTTTACAATCTGGGATAAGGTATAAACACCAGTGCTATGCTAAAGATGAAATGAGTACAAAACAAGATGTACGGACGATAAATTCATTGAGATAATTTGAAAAACAGAAAGAATATTCAAGTTTTGAATGAAAGAATTATTTTCATTTTCACTTTAAATTCTTAAAGTAGGGTGTCTAATTTTGGTTCTCAAATATTGGAAGAAAATATGCTTCAGACTTTTTAAGTGAATTTTAATTCTGCTTGTCTGCTTATTTCATTTTGTCCACCAGTCTCCTAATTGTTACATACTGGTTTTTAACTTTTTCATATTTGTATAAAAATGATTC